CGGTCGAAGGGTGGAACCGTCCCCGCCGGTGCCGGGAGCCCCGCCCAGCCGCTGCGGCCGCCAGGGACTGTGCTGCGTGCGCGCATGCGCGCGCGCGCTGGAGTTACAGCGGGACCGGGGTGAGGGGCGGGGCCACGTCGGAGGCCCTGGGCACGACGGGAATTGTAATTGGATGTCTGGACCTGAGCTACCTGCGCTCCAGAAAACAAACCCTTTTCCTTCTTAGTCCTGCTTTCTTGCCCCACACACCCTGGAGGAATCTCAGGGAGTAGGCCCTGCCCCTTGTCCTCAAGGCCTCAAATACCCCCTCTTTAATAACAGGGTCCCTGAAAATTCATGATTTTTTGGTTAATCCTAACCGGAGGATATTTTTCCATTGATTTTTGGAGTGGAGGGGGAGGGAAGAGAATCATTGATGTGAGACGCATGGATTGGTTGCCTCCCACACAGGCCACAGAACCCTGCCTGCAACTGAGGCAAATGTCCTTGACTAGAGCCCATGTTCTATCCACTGAACCAAACCGGCTTGGACCATGATTTTTAAAATTATTTTAAATCACAAACCTCCCAATACCATATATGCAGGTATCACCCTTCCCTTAATGGAATTTTTATGTATAAGTCCATTCTAAAGCATTGTGTCATTGATTTTCACAATGTGTGCTGCAAGAATTTTTAAAACCTCCAATATCTTACTATTTAGTCAGGGCAGTTACCTCTTTTTCCTTAGATTGTCAAATAAAAAAATTACAACAGTTATCAGGTGTGAATGTATCACGATTAACCTTTTTTGGTCAGATTGGCAAAAAATATTTTTTTTGGTGTGCCACAGAATTTTAGTAATTATTTTACACGTGTCCCATGAGATTAAAAAGGTTGAGCCCAACCGGTGTGCCTCAGCCTCAGTGGTTGAGCATCGACCTATGTACCAGAAGGTCACAGTTTGATTCCCGGTCAGGGCACATGCCTGGGTTTCAGGTTTGATCCCCAGCGTGGGGTGTGCAGGAGGCAGTTGATTCTCTCTCATCATTGCTGTTTCTCCCTCTGAAATCAGTAAAAATATTTTTTTAAAAAGGTTGAAAATCACTGCATTGTATGCTCAAAGTTATGCACTGTTACATATTCCCCCCTTTTCCTGTACTTTATGCTCTTTCACAATGTATACAGCTATTAACTCATGTTGTACATATTAAATATGTAGTTTGTCAACTATACCTCAATAAAGTTGGGAAAAAATGCTATATTCACTTTCTAGTTAGATTGAATATTCCATTAGCAAAAACATCTTTATTTTAGACCTCAAGAAAATACTTCCCCTTGATCCCATTCCTAGTGTTTCCCTACTACTGCCACCGGAATGTTGTTCTTCGCTTGTTTATTTAATGCATGAATAGAGGTGTTCAATATATTTTGGCTCATCAATGTTTTGTTTGAAAGTTATTTCTTGTAGCTTTGATCAAGACATTTAAATTTAACAATCTGGGGCCCTAGCTTTGCCTGTGCCCTTGCTCTACACACGTGGAGATGTTTAAGCATCATCCTTAGCAACAGATCAGAACTGTAAGACCTGAGCCAGGAAATTCTCCTTTATCAAATGACAAGGTCCAAAGTCTAACTAAAAAGATCCAGGTAACAAAATGAGAAACAATTCCCATTTGAAATGTAAATCTCCTCAAAGCTGGATGCTTTTATAAAGCTTGTGCCATACCCTAACCGGTTTGGCTTAGTGGATAGAGCGTCGGCCTGCGGACTGAGGGGTCCCAGGGTCGATTCTGGTCAAGGGCATGTACCTTGGTTGCGGGCACATCCCCAGTGGGGGGTGTGCAGGAGGCAGCTGATCGATGTTTCTAACTATCCCTCTCCCTTCCTCTCTGTAAAAAAATCAATAAAATATTTTTTTTAAAAAAAGCTTGTGCCTATTGATTTTAACTTGAAGAAGCAAGAAATTGATCTCCCTGAAGGATTAGTTTTTTCTCAGGCAGGTCTGCTGTTTATTCAAATCTCAGACTTGAGTTGTTGGAGTTCTGTAACATCAAATTTTGTCTTATACCACAGAGTATTTTCATTCACTTATATATGTAAACACTGCCTAATACCAATATACTAAACCTTTTAAGACTCATATTTCTGAGCACATCTCCGATGTTAATACCTAGAAGATGTCTTAAGGAAAAAGTCCTTGGTATAGTCAAACAAGTTTGCCTTTCTATTCTACTTCAATTCAAAATATTGCCAGGTCAAAAAAGTCTTTTCAGTTCCGTCTACACAGAACATAGCATGGGGGGAGAGGGGTGGGTAAATTATAAAGATACAATTACAGTCAACATTCAAAAAATGGGAGATTTCACTGACAGGTGCTTAAGAAACTTCCATAGCAGATCTTTTTCTTACCCATTTGCATAATTTTAATGTTTCTTCAATCATCATCCCCTTAAAAGGACAGGATAACTCTTTAAAATCCATCAGATCTATAGCCAAGAACCCTGTAAGTGAATAGACTAAGAAAAAATTGTT